GAACAAAAGCAGCCAAATGGTTTATGGAGACTTTCTAGTAACTTCCTTGCTACAGGAAAGTTGTGCATGTTGAAGAAACGAATGATTGCCGAATATCCGACAACATCTGACTAAAACATTATTACTGAGGTTGAGCAAAAAGCCACAACAGCTAAATAAGCATTAATTGATTGAAGTATTGTACAATTTGCCTTAATGATTCAATTTTATAATATTTATGGCATAATTAATAAAAAAAGCTTTGCAAATGGGTATAGCTTTTAGATGATATAAATCTTATTTACTTGTTTGATCTCTGGGTTCAAGAATTACTGATTATCCTTTTCTATGTTGCTCAGCTGTCAAATTTCCTATTAAACTACATAGTTTATTATTTGATTTTCTGTTTATGTGGGTTCTGTTTCTGTTACTTCTACTATGTAGATTTATTATTTTTTTCCTTATCTAGGAGATTTGAGCAAATCTACAACCAGATTTACTGGAGAGGAATGTTCAGAAAGAGAAAGCTTATTCATTGTTCTAATAGTGCATCTGGATATTACTTGTAGGAAAGGAATATTTATTTATTTTTTTAATCAAATCACAAATGCATATAGAATGGGATTTTTAGAATTTTTTTTTACAAAAATAGATATAAATTATCAGATAATTCTAAATATTTCATTATTTGAAGCTTTTATATTTGTAGATATAAACTATTTTTCTTTGCAAGAAATGTGTGTATTTTATTAATCTTTATTATCATTTGGTCACATTAAATGCTGCTATTGGGAGGGCTTTCAGAAAAGTAGTTCCATATCTGAAATTCCATTCAGTTTCTCCAAGGCTGTGATTCATAAAGGTATCTGCAGTAGGGCTATAAGAAGCTTCATTTCTTTTCAATGAAGATTTGAATGAAGCATCCCAGTGAAGTTTTGAACAAAGCAACAATGGTTCCCTCACAGAGAGGTTATTCAACAGGCAGGACTATAGTCTGTTAGGCAAGCTCACATGAGATCTTGATAAGTAATTCTGTAAGGTTAAATCATATTCCTAAGAATTTTAATGGCAGCTTTAAGAGTAAGCCTTATATAGAGAAACAGTATTTAACTCGTGAAATCATTTTTTGTTCTGTTCTTATGTAATGAACTATCTGGTCCCCTCTTTGTATGGGAGGCTTGGTTTTCATCTGTTTTGGCAATGTCAGTTTTGCTATTGTGCTGTTTTTCATTGTCTATATAAGAGGTAACTCTTATACTTCACTTCTAAGATAAAACTGTTAACTTCAGAGCACCTTCCATCTTTTAGAGGTTGTACTCTGGAAAAAGGTTGAGAGAATCCTTTTCCTACAGCACCACCTAAGGGGTCTCCTCAGATAGGCAGTTGCACAGTGAGTTCTGGGGAATTCAAAGATTATACACTGAGCAACTGAATCAATCACTACAGCATGTGCTGAGTCCCCTTTAGCCAGAATCTCCTTGAGTTGCTTGCTAGAGCTATTTGGCCATGTTGAGTTGGCCAATGGCACCATAAAAGCTTTTCTCCTAATAAACTATCAAGAGAGTCTAATGATGTACATCCTTTTATTTATGTAATTATTTATTAATCAAATGTATATAGCTGCCCATCTTATGAGACGTCTTGCCTTTTGCATCACTTGCCTCCTATCACTGCCAGTGAATGAGAGAGGAAATAATATAGATGAGTTTATTGTATGTTCCTGGGCTTTCCCAACTGTTTGATAGCTGATATGTTTATGTGTCCAGCAGCATACATTCTTTTGCATTGTTGGCATTTTTCTGATCTTTGTCAGCAGATGAAAATGCTTCAGAGTTGTGTTCCTGGATTCTCCCGACTACTCATCAGTTGCAAGCTCAATGGTATTAAAGGATGCATCCCTTCATTCCTCTGGCCTTTTCCATTGGAAGCTGACCAATAATGAAATGGGGCCAAAATCCTTTGGGGAGTCCTTGAGAAAGGCCTTATGAGAAGAGCCTTTTTTATGCCCATCCAAAAAGCCCTTCAGACAATGCATTTGAGAAGATAATTCTGCCACACTGGCCAAAATATTCAGTGTGCATCACTGAAGACATGTGCTGGAGATCTTCTAGGTAGGGTAATGTTAGGAAGACCACAGGCAATCCCAAAGTTGTTTGGTTTGAAAACTTCTCACCCAGCCCTGGAGAAAAAGGCTTACAGGAGACTTCTCCTTCAGCATAAGCCTGTAATGATATCAGGTCACACAAATTGCTTTGTCAAGGCAAATAGGCTGTTTGCTTTGGAAGAGCAAATTGGGTTGCCTGTGCAACCAGAATTACTTCAGATCAGTGTTTGAATTTGCAGGCCTAATCTACAGTAAGGTAACTGAAACAAACCAAAGCCACTACAGGTAGTCCTTGTTTAGTGACTGTTTGAAGTTACAGTGGTACTGAAAAAAGTGACTTATGATCAGTTTTCACAGTTATGACCTTTACAGCATCGCCGTGTCATGAGATCAAAATCCAGGCACTTGGCAACTGGCATGTATTTATGACTGTTGCACTAGGGTCATGTGATTACCATCTGTAACCTCAGCTGGCTTCTCACAGGCAAAGTCAATGGAGAAAGCCAGATTCAATAACCACATGATTCACTTTAACAACTGCAGTGATTTGCTTAACAACTGTGGCAGAAAGGTCATTAAATTGGGCCCAGTTCACTTAACAGCTGTCTTGCTTAGCAATGGAAATGTTGGGCTCCATTGTGGTCATAAGTCCAGAACTACCAGTATAAGGAGATTCTATAGAAAATAATTCAGAGTCCCAGCATTTTTTTATTTGTATTTATTCCAGCAGCAAATGGCTTTCTCTGCAAGCACTTGGAACCAGCATTCCTAGTCTAGGAATTATTATTCGAAGTAATTCTGAAAAGCATGAAAGAATTAATGATATAATTCATAGATATTGCAACTTTAGAGAATTGCATGAAAAAGATGTACAGCAGGGGTCCCCAACCCCCTGTCCGTGGACCTTCACTGGGCCGTGGCATGCGAGAAATCAGCCCACGCAAACAAGTGAAGCCCCATCTGTAGGATGCAGGCAGCACGTGAAACCACGCCCCCTCTGCTCCACAGAAAAACCTTTTCCCACAGAACCGGCCCCTGGTGCCCAAATGGTTGGGGCCTCTGATGTACAGGACGGATGGCAAAATCACATTCTCAAATCCTACTTCACTGTCTGATTTCTATAGTTGACACTCCCTCTTGAATGCTATTTTTCTTCTGAATTGGCATTTACAAGCATAGAAATTTGCTCCCCAAAATAGAATTTCCCTCAGTGACCTCTAGTATAAAACCTTGTAAGATAAGAACTATATAAAGTACAGTTGTATTTGTTGATAATGTAGCATTTATGTAATTTGCAGCTCTTTAAATATCACTAATTCAAATATTGATGCTGAGATTGATATTGAGAGCCAGTTTGGTATGGAGTTAAGATGTTTCCCAGGAGACTGTGAGTTCGAAGTCTCCCTTAGGCATGAAAGCTGGCTGGGTGACTCTCTTAGCTCAACGTATCTTATTAGTTGTTACCATGGGGGAAAATAGGAGCTGGAAATATTAGGTATGTTCACCGTTTTAAGTTTAACAAAAAGCCAAAATACATTAAAAAGTCAGAATAAATAAAATAATAATTCAGTGGTTATAGATTTAAGCCATGACAGCAATTTATATTTAGTCCTCACTATATCTTCAGCAAGCTTCAGCCAGTTTCTTAACATGTATTTGTTAACTGTTGTATTCACCAGTTTGCTTTCCTTGTTTCCATTCTTTAAAAATCTTAGATTATTTAATAGAATATCTGAAACAACTCTAAATTCTATTTTGTGGGCTATGAGTATATAAAATGAAATTAAGAAATAAGATCATTTTTGAAAATCAGTTGATTAAAAAGGAAAATGTGGCTAACTAGTTCGTAATGTAGATGATTTAGATGACAGACCAGGTATGCACTTTTTAATGTTGTCTTTAAATTATTTAAGAACAATATCCTTCATATATTCATTAGATATTGCCAGTTTTCCTTTCTGATGCATTCTCAAAGTGGTAGACATTGTAGAATTTTATATGTAATGGCTTCATGGTAATGTTGAGATCACGTGGGCTTCTGCACACTGTCTTTCTTCAGCTATGCCGATCTGTGGTAAAGTTCGGTTTTCATTCTGGTTGAAACCACCTATTCCTCGTAAAAACACCAGTGAGCACCTATGCTAATGGGCATGACCCTTGAAACAAAACTGGAAAATAGCTTAGAATAGAGTAGTTTATGAATCTCTGAGTCATTCCCCCCTCCCTCCCCCCCCCCACTCCAAGATCTTGACAGCTCTCATTCTGAAGATGTTCAGGAAGGCTCTAAAGACTTGGTTGTTCTCTCAGATCTTAAGGTGGGGATGCCAGTGACACTCCTTCGTTAGGAGTGATTGAGTTTTTGTTGTGGTTGTTTCATTGTTGATGTTTTTGTCTGGACTGTCTGTTGTGGTATTTCTCTTTTCTATTTATGTTATTGTGTCTGTATTTTGTTTTAAATTGTGAGCCGCCCAGGATCATTCTGGAGTTGGATGTGCCAAAATCAGATTTAAAAAAAATAAACTTCTCTATTTGCCTATCACTAGATAAGTGATAGGGGATTGTTATATCTGCCCTCTGCCTTCAATGAAAATCTTTTCTAGTTCTCAGAGAATCTCTAAAGTAAGCCCAATTTTAGGAAAACCAACTGGAAATGATAAGCAAAAAGGCTTGTTTTCAGAAGTGGGTGGGTCTGAAAAAGTTTGCATTCTCCGCAAAATTATTGCACAATGTTTTGTATCATAAATGTAGTTTACTATAGCTAACTTAAGTCAATAATAACATGAGATCTGACCTTTTTTTAAAAAAAATGAGGACTCTATTTATATATCTAGCCTTATCTTTAAACAACATTTTAGTCCTTACTTATTCTTTCTTCTCCTTATAAACTTACAACTTAAACATTTATGCTGTATCTTAGGCCCGAAACTCAACATCGTGGCCCTACTGCCCATGCAGAGAATGACCTTCCTGAACAAGAAGAAGAAATACTGGGGTCAGATGATGATGAGCAAGAAGATCCCAATGATTATTGCAAAGGTATGCAATTATAATTCTACATTTTCAGTATGTTCATTTTAGGCCAGTAACTCTAGGCTAATAATATGACTGGATGAAACTTTTGCATAAGTAAGCCACATTATGAATTTGCTTTTAAGGGAAAACAGGAATCCATTTATTGAGAGGAAACCATGGCTTAGAACAGTGATGGCAAACCTTTTAGAGACCGAGTGCCCAAACTACAACCCAAAACCCACTTATGCATCGTCGAGTGCTGTCTGGGTGTGGCCAGTTGGGTGGGCGTGGCTGTGGTGGTAACAGCAGACTGGGTGGGACTAAAAAGTTCAATCAATCAATTTCAACTTTACAAGATCTTTTTTTTCCCGCGAGAAGTTGAAATTGACTGATTGAACTTTTTTTTTTTTGCACATGGCGGCAGAGGCCTAAAGCGAAAAGGTTTTATAAAACCTAGCTGAAGGCCTAGGACTGGGGCAACAGCGTGCGTGCCCACAGAGAGGGCTCTGAGTGCCGCCTCTGGCACCCGTGCCATAGGTTCGCCACCACTGGCTTAGAAGATTTAAATCTGTTTATAGTTAAGAGCAGTTATCTCCTAAGCGTATGTCTTCTTTGTTAAACTAAACTTAACAATTTAACTTAATAACTTCAAGGTGAAGGAATATGCTTATTTCAGGTATATTTTATATACCTAATATAGGCATGAAAGTCAGCTGGATAATCTTGGCTAAATCACTCTCTCTTAGCCCAACTCACCTCACAGGGTTGTTGTTGTGGGGAAAATAAGAGCCGGAAGGAAATGTAGGTATGCTCACTGCCTTAAGTGATTTATAAAAATAAAGGCGGAATAGAAATAAATTAAATTTAAATAAATATTTAAATGGTTCACAAATTGCAGAAGTTGCTGCTATTGTCCTTTGATGGGCAACAAGGCTCGGACGTGGTGCTTCCCTCAGAAAAAGTCTTGTCTCCATATCAAGGTTCTACACTTAGGTTTGCTAGCCCAGAGAATCTGCCCAAGCATGTCTGTAAAAGATAAGAGCATTGGCTGTGGTTTGTCCCTTTCTCAGCTGTTCCTGGTGTTGCTCCTGGGAATCTGGAGTGAGGAAAAGTTATGACAAGGAGAAGACGTCATGAGGAGGGGATGCTCTCAGTTTCTCTTAAAAAGTAGCTGAATTAAAGGGCTGGGGAAGAGGAATACCTTGAATACCAAATTCAGTCTGTTTTCCATTGCTTTCTGAATAGGATTTTTTTTGTTTTTCTTTAGAAAATAATGTTAGCTATGTCCACATTCACATTTCTTAACATCTCCTAGCCTTCGCCATGCCTGTAAATCAGGAATGAAGATAGCCTTTATGTTTTCCAGGAAAATATGCTTTAATTACTAGCTTAGTAAAATGAGTTGAAATATTCCAGGACATGAACATGTACTTGCTGGTTTGAGACATTGTAGCCGCTTAGTAACACATGCATGCACAGAATTTATATCAGACTCATACATGTAAGGCCAAACCATTTTAAACTGCATTGCAGTTTTACTCTCTGCTTGATCAGGGTGACAACTAGTTTGTTTGGATACACTTTGATGCAAAGCTTGGAGTGCAGCCTGATTAGGTGCACAATACTTTGTGTATACAAAGCTGGATCGCAGCGAGAATTTATTCCAGGTATACCTGGTGAAAACAACAGGCCTAGGAAATTACACAATCAAGTTTCTCCAAGCAAAAAGGACTCCAGCTTCTTGCACACTTAAAATTCCGTTACTGTCAAGATATCCCAATGAAATAATTACTTTTATTCATAGAAGGGAGAGTGTTATAAACATTAATACTAGAAGTAATAGAAAATAATAGTGCTACAAAGTTTCAGAACCATGTCATAAGGCTTTCATTATAACTATTATTATAATATAGTACTAGAAAAGGAAAAGATAGTTTAAAAATAGTTTAATAAACATGAACATTTTAGAAGTAAAATAAATTAAAGAAATGGTTCAGTAGCCCAGAAAATGAAAGAAAAGCTAATAGCCTTTAAATGTTTGATGGAAGTAAATTCATGTAATACCTAAATGCCTAGTCTTTCCTGATTTGCCTTCTAGTTAGTGGGAAAGGCAGAGGTATTCATGGGAATCTCAGTCACCACATAGAAAAAAGGTCTACAGTTAGAAAAAGTGTTAGATACTGTAAAAATGGTAGAATTCTTTGTGTTCAAATTACTATGTAAATATTACTATGATATAGCAAAGATTAATAATTTCTTCTACTGAAATGCATTTCTTCCTCTTCAGCGAAAAAGAATTTCTAAAATCTACTAATTATGCAATAGCTGTCAATGATAATTCTGGTTACATGAATCCAGTATTTTAGCATTTCTCTTAACAAAATAAAGGCAGCCCTCATTTAACATTCATTTGTTCAGCAACCGTTCAAAATTACGATGGTACTAAACAAAGGGACTTATGACCAGTACTTGAAGTTATGGCCATTGCAGTTCCTTTGCGTTCATGTGTGAAAATTTGGGTGCTTAGCAATCCGCCTGCCCTTATGATTGACTGCATGGGCACTGCGACTGCCCCTACCTGCCCATATCCTCTTCCCAATCTCAGTCACTCACCAGTGAATGCAAAATTGCTATGGCATTAAAGGGCAGGCCTGCTACCCACTTCATCATACCCAAGAGAGCTTTCAGGTATATATGATGATTTATTAAAATGCAGTACTGTGTTAATTTAGCTTGATTTATTGGTTTTTGTACTGTAAAATTTTCTGAGTTTTCTGCATTTGAATCTATATAAAGTTATGCAAGTAAATTTAACTTTTTCTGTTGAAGTTACAGCATATCCTCAATTTAACTGTATTGATTTAATAATTCATTATACATTTTGTAGGTGGATATCATCTAGTAAAAATAGGAGATCTGTTCAATGGAAGATACCACGTAATCCGAAAACTGGGATGGGGACACTTTTCTACAGTGTGGTTATCGTGGGACATTCAGTAAGTCTTTGTTCTTTGGTTGGAGTTTCTGTTAATTGTTCAACAATATTATAGATAAATTGCATTTTTTTCTTTTCTTATTATTTTGAAATCCAGAACATTCCTATTGTGTTTTATAAACAGAGTGATACGGATATAATGTTCAAATGTATTTTGTCAGGATTCATCCCTTTGTATCATTTGTTCATGGTTGCGTTTCATACACCTTGGAGATGATACTTTGCTCAAGAATAATCTAGAGCAGGGGTCCCCAACCTCCAGTCTGTGGCCTGGCACCGGTCCATGGCATGCCAGAAACCGGGCTGCACAAATAAGTGAAGCCCCATCTGCAAGATGCAGGTAGCACACGAAACCATGACCCCTCTGGTCTGTGGAAAAACTTCTCCACAGAATCGGTCCCTAGTGCCCAAAAGGTTGGGGGCCGCTGATCTAGAATTAGCTTTCTCTAACCACTCTCTCCACACATTCACCACCCACAGGAGTTCTAAGCTCTCATATTTTTATCTGTCAGCATTATGTGGTTCCTAAGAATAATTTGAAATTAAACTTTGTGTCCATTAGGGGGAAGAGATTTGTGGCAATGAAAGTTGTAAAGAGTGCTGAGCATTACACAGAAACAGCTTTGGATGAAATTAAACTCCTGAAATCTGTGAGTATACAGAAGTAAATTCTTACAATATAGCTTCAAACTATATTGTGAAAAGAAGCGCTGTTTGTCACAGCTGGCTAACCTTGCATGTCCTGTTTCCTTTCATATGTAGATAATAAAAGAAATTTCAGTTTTTATGTGCTTAAAATTTGGTTGGATTTAGTTATAAGCTTTAGTTGAGAGTGGGGAATATACTGTTCATGTCATCATCTGCAGATGTCATTAACATTTTCTAATAGTATGTTTTCAGGAGAATTTTATGAATGGATTGAAAATGGGAAATGCAATTTCACTAGATGAAATATGAATTATTGTCTACGCAGATAATTTGGATATATGCTTTTTTTAAAACTGGCATGTTAAGGAAAATAAGTGTTAATATGAGAATGTGGCTATCTAAAGACAGTCAAATGATGATTCATTTGGGCACTAACTCTTAAAAAAGCAATAAGAGGATCTGGAAAAAGTCTTAGAAGGTTTGGAGGGATCTTCCTGTACTCATTTTCTTCTGTCATTTGATAGATTTTTTTTCTCTCCTTTATACAGGTCCGGAACACTGACCCAGATGATCCAAATCGAGACGGAGTAGTTCAGCTTTTAGATGACTTCAAAATCTCAGGAATTAATGGTTCCCGTATCCTTTGAATAGAATGGATCACAAAGCATGGGTTCAAATGACAAATTTACATAGCATGTAATGTACCGTAACACTAATTTCTGTCCATTGTTTAGCCATTGCAACCTATGGGGCTTTGACTTTGCTGTGAGGTATAATAGCAGAATTATTAGTACTTACATCCCAAGCTTATCCAACTATGCCAACTATGGTTGTTAGGGTACTTAAAAAAAAAAAGAGATGCATAACGTTTTTAAACGGGGGGAAAAGTCAGATTCCTTTAAGATCAAATTCCTTTGGTATTGAAAGCTTAAAAAAATAATAATTTCATCCCATGTTCTGATCTGTATAATCTCTGCATTCAAATATGGAATGGTCTATAAGTCTTCATACTGTGCCATCATCCATGTTTCTTGATACCATTCAGTCACAATACTATTACAGATGCTGTATAAAAGTTAATGCATACAAAAACAATACTAATACAACATTTCAAGAGAAATTTCATTATTGGAATAGTCTAGAAATTCACCCTTGACTCGGCTCAGATATTTGTATGGTATTTGAAGTTTTAGGGCATCATCTTCTGAAATGGATCATCAAATCAAATTATCAGGGGCTTCCACAACTTTGTGTAAAAAAAATCATCCATCAGGCAAGTTCCATATCTCTTCCATACATTTCAGTTCTAATTTTGCTTTTAAAATTTGTTAAAAATACTTTTGTCTTCAGGGTTTATTAGCAAAACATGCTGTTGAATGCGTGAGATATAGATAGCGACAAATATTTGGTTTTAAATTGGTTTTATGGGGAATGGCGTTTGTGTGTTTTAATATGCTGTGAGCCGCCCTGAGTCCTATAGGGAGAAGGGCGGCATATAAGTTTAAATAATAATAATAATAATAATAATAATAATAATAGTTACAATGGCATTTGGGATTGGCATTGCCATTGCTAATCAATACGGCTGTAAAGCATGACATCATCATTAGTGATGGCAACCCAGACATTCTCGATTGTTATTGTAACCCAGGCATGTCAAACTCGCGACGTCACATGACGTCGTGCAACGTATTGGGCCGGTTTTGTCATTGCCGGCAATGGGGTGGGCACGGCTTCTACATGACACGTCTGGCCCGCGGGCCAGCAGTTTGACACCCCTGTTGTAACCCCAAGATATATTAGTCTGCCTGTACATAATGATCAGTAATTTTTTTGAATCAGTAAATACCACAATAATTTTATTATTGCTCTTTAATAACTGTTAGTACCTCTGAATAGGGTTCATTCTCCCTGACTGAACTGGTTTGTAATCTGAGAATCCTCTTGACTTAGAACTTCTCAAGAAGCAGGTGGCAATTTTGGTTAGGAGAGTCTTTGCACAATTCCTTCTTGTGTATAGAAATTATGGCCATTTCTGTATCCAGAGGCCATAATCCTACTTTGATCTCCTTTCAGTTGGACTGTTGCTATTCACTCTAGATGGATTTGACCTGAAGACCATCAAGAAGATACAGTAGGTTCCAGAAACAGTGACTGGAGTAGTTAAGGGTATTTCTCAGTTTACTTAAATAGTCACTACTGCTAACGCTGCACTGGTTGGCATTTGGCTTCTAAATACACAATTTAGAGTGCTAGTTTTCACCTTTAGAGCCCTTGCTTGGGATCTGAATACCTGCAGGACTGTTTTCTTTCAAAGATACCAATAAGATCTAGCAAGGAGGGCACCATTCAGATTCCATTTCTGATGGATTGTTGTTATTAGGGACAACAGGATTGTGTCTCCTCCATCTCTACCTTTCACCTTTGGAACAAGGTTCTACCTAAGGTCATCATTAACCCTGTTGGCATTAGAAAAGCTGGTTAAACTTGGCTATTATGGAAAGCCTCTGGAGGCTTTGTAAGACTGATCATCTCCTTAGAGTATTGCTCTTATCACTGTTTTGGGGGGAAGGGTTGGTAATAGTTATTTGGATTGTTAGGTTTTTCTTCTTTTATCTTTGAAAGCTGCCCAGAGTCTCTGACACTGAGTTGGCCAGCCATATGCATTTTGTTAAATAAATTAATTTCTGCATTCTTTGTAAGTTGCTTTCGGACTTCTTAGAATTGAGCTACATATAAAGTGCAGTAAAAAAATGTTATAGAAGTAAAGTGGACAGGAAACTTAATGTGACCCAACCAAAGTGTCAGAGGGTACTTCTGAGCTATAATTTTATCTCATGGTGAAATTGTTGGTCCTTTTTTGCAAAGCAAAAGCAAAGCAGGGCTGCAGGACCATAGATAAATAGCTTTCTGTAGAAAAATCAAGGAGAAATGGAATATCTCACTAGGAGAGACCACAGATATCACTATTCTGACATGCAACATTGAGATCTGAGCTGTATGTTAGCATGCCATCTCTTCTGTGAGGAGGAATCATGTGAGTTAATAGGAAGTAAAAAGCAAATAGTGTTGAGAAAATGCTGCAAAAAGGAGGTCAGATAAGCATGCACTTTTTCAACAGATGTGTTTAAAAGTATCTCAAAGGGAAGGCAAAGAGGAAATCATTTCTGCACTGTTGCCCCCAAATTGAATAGATATGTACATGAAATCACTAGAAATTAAGCTTGATTCAAAGAAGATTACTTTTATCTTTATTAAATTCTGTCTCTTCAGTATTCCATTAAATGTTCTATGTTGTATGCAACCTGAGTACTTGATTTCTTTTATCTTTTGTGTTTTGCAGGTCTTGCAAGGGCTGGATTATTTGCATTCTAAATGTCGGATTATCCATACTGATATTAAACCAGAAAACATTTTGCTGTGTGTTAATGACCAGTACATCCGTAAACTAGCTGCAGAAGCTACAGAGTGGCAAAGATCTGGAGCCCCTCCGCCTTCTGGCTCTGCAGGTTTGTGCTTCCTGATTGTTGTCACTTCAAATGTGGTTCATTCTCATGACAACCTCAACTATTCTGACCCTCATTAATCTTCTTAATTCTTTTTTTGGCTTGGATGGAGGGCAGGTGTTAACTTCTTTCTGGTGATCTAATTTGTTCTGTTAATAACCCAAACTGAAGAATGAGATATAAATTCTTGAAATAAATAATGTGGAATATTTCAGTTTGTTTACAATGAATATGTTTTATAAAAAAGCTTGGGAAGAAAATATAAATTGTTGTAAATGTAAAAGACTTAGATATTTAAACTGTATTAATAATTTTAGGTAGTTAAGTGCAAATGTGACTCTGATTTCATTTAAATCTTTTTTTTTTACATGGCACTATAGGTAGTCTTTGAGGTATGACCCTAATGGAGCCTTCTTTTCAAAACTATTTTTAAGACTTTTTTTTTAACCACTGTTCTCTCAGTCACTCATGTCCTGATCACCTCCCAAATGGATTGCTGTAATATACTTTATGTTTGCCTTCCCTTGAAGAATATCAAATTAAGGAGCTAGATATGACATTTAACCAGGTTATCTGAGGGCCACCTCTCCCCATCAGGTCCACCAGGATAGGCATGTTGTTGTTCTAGTTAGTTAGGGAGCTTCATTTGATGGGCCTCTTATTCAAGTGCTAATCTGGCTCTGCTTATCTATTTTGAGATCAATCAGTAAAGTCTGTGACATTAAGAAATGACATATAGAATATTTCAGCATTCTCCCCAAATATGTTTTTCTGTGAAAAATTGGGGGGAATTCCATTGCAGCAAAATTTCTGAAAATTTTCTCTCAAAGAACATTAATGTTTTAGAGGTGAATCATCATTATTGTTTGTCACACAATCAGCCAGATGTTCAGACTGAATCTGGCATTTTTATCCACTTATCGAGTCCTTCCCAAGGACCTCAGATAGGCAGATGTGAATGTTTGACTCTGTGAGGCTTACAATGTGATAACCCATTCCTGATGGGTTACATTTTAATGTGAATATCATCTTAATAGAAATAATATTCTGTTTAATAAAGATTTGTGTATTGTATAACTTGTACAGTATCATTGGCTCCTAGAACGGAAACATGCTAATGATGCTTTTGCTTTACTTCACAGTGAGTACTGCACCACAGCCCAAACCAGTAAGTTTGATTATTTCCACTTTTTATATTTAGATGATGCATTACATGGTGGGAGAGAATCTTGCTGTCATTAGCTGTGTTTTTTAGATTTTAAGAGTTAAGAAATTTGGGCCATGCCTCTTTCTAAAAGCAAAGAGGTAATGGAGTTCATTTTAATGAAACACTTTTTCTTGTCACAAAGCTCTTTTTGTGGTGTCACTTACTAAAGCCAGAAGACGCTTCTGCCCCAACTTTGATGAGATTGTGCTGGAGAATGTCAGCAATATGTTGTCAAGAAATAAAACAACTCCTCTCTTTAAAGCAACAAGGCCACATTGCTTCTTTAAGAGCATTTCACTTAAATCCTCATGGAAATGACATATTCCTTCAAAAATTTACACAGCCCTACAACATTGATACTTAATGATGATATAGTGGTTCTTTATTTAATCAGTGGCATATGGACGGCAGTAAAGTGTTAGGGAGAATTGGCATTCCACAAACAAAGAAATAATGATACAGTTTAACAGTTTTGTAATTTTCAATTTTTAGTGAAAAGTGTTAACGCTTTGAAAGGACGGCATTAAACCAGGGGTCCCCAACCCCCAGGCCATGGCCCAGTACCGGGCCTTGAGTCTTTCAGAACCTGGCTGCAGAGGGGGGCAGTTGAGTGCACGTGCATGTATCTTCACTCATGCAAGCAGTGGGTGAGCTCGTGCATGCACACTCATTTGCACGAGTGTTGGATGTGCATGCCTACCACTCACATGGAACCATCTCTTCCTCCTGCCAGTCTGCAAAGCCAAAAAAATTGACAAACTCTGCATTAAACCATCTATAGGTAAATCAGCTGTCACCGCAGAAAGTTTCCATGTAGCATCTTTGCTATAGTATACTTAATAGCCAATGAAATTATGAGAACAGGAGAGAGACTGAATTAAATCTGAACTTTACAATCCAAATGATGGCTGCTTAGATGGACGTATGTTCTGTTGAACCCAGTGATATTTCTTACTAGCCATTACTAGTTTTCTGTGTACGTAGTATATCTCTCTTTAGTAGTGTTTCTCAACCTTGACAATTTTAAGGCATGTGGACTTCAACTCCCAGAATTCCACAGCCAGCTTTGCTGGCTGTGGAATTCTGGGAGTTGAAGTCCACATGCCTTAAAATTGTCAAGATTGAGAAACACTGCTCTTTAGGGATTGCTAAGCAATTTCCCCTTTTATTATTTATACGACTTTGAAAAAAAAATGCCTACTAAATTATTATTGCAATAAACAGTAAGCATGTAAAAGTTAGCTGATTTGCATTTATCTCTTAGGCTGACAAAATGTCCAAAAATAAGAAAAAGAAATTGAAAAAAAAGCAGAAACGACAAGCAGAACTGTTGGAGAAACGAATACAAGAAATCGAAGAGATGGAGAAGGAATCAAATCCTCTGCAAACTGAGTCTGAAGAACAACAAGAAGAGGAGAGACCAGTTGAGCTAATTTTAAAAGAGAGCTCCCCAGATGAGGGGCTGCCAGCAAAGACAGGTATTGATCTCTAGGGAAAAAAAAGTGTTTGGGATCAACGTATTACTCTAATCCTGCATTCTTTGATGTAATCATGCATTCTTTGAAGTTGAGCGGGTCTTAAAAAATAAAGATTTGAATTGATCAAAGTTTCCAAGAGATTTGGACTGATACATTTTAATTGGCTAAATTAAATTTTCCTAACATGTGTAATAAATGTTTAAACCTAAGTAATGTTCAGACCATCATTATCTCTGGGCCCAGAGGATGGTGATGGAGAAAAATGATGAAACGTTATTTATACCATTTTAGGAAAAAAAAAGATGGGACATCAGCAGCAGTGATAATAATTTTTTAAAAAAATGGTTGACTGGCCTGGTATTTCCAGTTGCCCCTTATCAGGATTCATTGTCATTCCTTTTGTGTCTGTTCTTCCCTTGACCCATGGTTTCTGCTTTTTCTCTTTTTTCAGAGCAAAGCAGCTTAATGGAGGGAATTGAAAAATGTGTAACAGAAATCAATTGCAATGGATTGGTGCAAATGTCTGCCTTCTCAAAATCCATCAGTCAAGTAGCTGTGAAACTTGAGGAGGACGTTCATAATGCCAATGATTTCACTGGCCCTTCTCAAGAGCAGGAAGAAGAGAGCAGTGCTTACAGCCAAAGCAATGGTGGTTCAGAGAACCTAATACAGGAAGCAATATCACAGCTTCCTATACCCTTAATTTCAGAGGTTCTGGATTCAATGGTTTGTCAGGAAGCTACATGTGAGGAGCAGTATTTAAATGAACAGCAAATCAGCCAATTACAAGAAAGCATCCGGTCAGAAATTCCTTCGGAAGATGAGAATGAAAATAATGGGTCTTCTGAAAACAGTAAAGGTACAGCACATTGATTCTTTGTCATAAACAGTTTATTTTCAAGAAGAATAGTCTTTTTAAAAAAATATGTAACAATAAGCTGCTCAGAGTTGCCTCAAAGTGTGAGATGGGTGGCATATAAATTTGATTTAAAAACCCCTAATATTTTCTGGTTATATAGGTTTTTTTTTCTAAGCACTGTCCATATGTGAGTCTAATCTTACAAAGATCTTGTACAGTATGTTAATATTTTTAAAATTAGACTATTTATAATCCATAATTTGAGTTTGACATATTTTGAATAATCATATTTATTTCTTCGGCTTAAGGAGATGGCAAGCTTGATTCCCACTATGATTTATATATAGTTAAACCATTGTTTATTGTAATTTCTAAATCACTTCATTGGTATGAATTTTACGAAANAGATAGTTGACTTAACTAATGTTTATGCTGAGTCTAGAAAAAGCTGCTGCTGGAAATTTCCTCCTTAATCCGCTTGAGCCTGGGAATGCAGAAAAACTCAAAGTGAAGATAGCAGATCTAGGAAATGCTTGCTGGGTGGTAAGTTTATTATCCTTTCCCTACTGAATGCCAACATTGCTAATTTTGCAGTTTGCTGGAATGAACATAGTTACCATTTAAAATATATTAACAGACTTCTACAAATGCAAACTTAATTTGTTCATAGCTGTTAAATTTTTCTGTGTGCCCTTGAGAAGATCAGTTCTTTCTCATACAAATTTTCAAAAGACTTGATTTTATTGGGCGTGCTGTAAGTAGAACTGTCAGAATTTCACCCTAAATTTGTACTTTAAAGTAACTCCAATTTTCAATCCAACATCAGAAATGAGAATTCCAGCATCCATGCCCTTAATTTGGAAAAGGTATCTTATCTCTGCTAGCAACCAGCTTATTGTGGCTGCTATAAAGCAAAGAGGTATTAGTTTGTTAGATTAAAACAATGTGATATATTTACTCTGGTTGTGTATTCCCTTGTAGAAGCTCTTAATTCCATGGATAGCATAGGTGGAATGGCAAGATCTTTTTTCCCCTTTTTATTTTGAGCTGTACTATATTTAGATCAGAGAACATTAGCTTTTTACTCAGAACTGAAAATAAATAAAGGTGTATGACTTTTCTGAAGATCATTGTTGTACAGGTATCCTGGCTCATTTTTGAACTTGTATGAGGCAATATTCTGCTTATTATTTATGTGAAACTATTTAGTTTTTCCTATACAGATTAAAGAAGAAAAGATGGAATATGTTCCATTATCCCTTTCACAGAGAATGCTGAAAGCCATTCATATGAAAGCATCCTAAGATTTTTTTTAAGCCAGTTAATTAATATATTAAATGTTTGCATGATGTATGCCGTTAGAATAAAAGGCAAATTGGACTTGATTCTATTATTTTTGTTTTTCAGTATACTTTGTATGTAAAACATATAAAAAACATTATATCCAATCAGTTTAATTTAGGGAAAAATATGTAATATTATAGCATCTATAGTATGCAATATTACATATGTAAAAAAATGTAAAAAGAACTAATGATTAAATGTATGAACATTTATGTAAGAAAGCTTGCCCCACAGTTCCATGATCTTGATCCATGCAGCCCAACTTCTTCAAGGTACATGGGAAAGCTGCTTTTAATTGTTAATGAACAGACCATGCATCCCAAGATTCATGGTTTATGCTCAGCTCAGCACATTTTCTGCATTGAATCAATTTTTAAAATAATCTGATTTAGTCATAGAAGTTCCACTAATCTTTGTTTGAGAAGGCTATATTTTTATAGAATGGAGGTGGGAAATTTCGATCCCATTGTTTGTGTTGCTTTTCTAATTTTTTTTTTTAATTTTGCAGATTCAGATTCTAGGGCTGGTTACTCAGATTTATTGTGCACGAAAAGATTTCAATACACCAGAAAGCAATAGTCGCCCATTTCTTGTAGCAGAAGTACTAGTTTAGGATATAGCAGTGGGATGGCCTGCCTTGAGCATCTCCAGCTCTGCTTCTAGTGCTTGAAAAATGATGGAAGAGGACACTGCTTGCTTGCTGTCCCTAGTGTGTGACTTTAAAAAAAAAAAAAAAAATAACTTCTGCTTTTGAAAATGTAAGGTTAAGTAGTTGCAATTTATTTTAAAAGAGAAGGACAGACAGTTTGGGGTAAATGATTAAAACAACATCTTAATGGAAACTAAGATAGATAGAATGAAATACATTTATGAGAGAAAACAGAATAAAAAAACAGATAATTATTTACCATCTTCCTCCATGGCTACATTGCTAGTATTTGTATGGATCCCCTGGACTTTAATTGATGCCACCAGTGGGATTTAGTTTTGTTAAAAATGTATAAATATACAGAATTTCCCAGATGTGTATCAGAATTTGAAAAACTAGAAATTAGAGGCACATTTCTTACTAATCATAGAAACTTATTTTGCTTCAAGTTGTAACACGTTTCTTTTTCAGCATAAACATTTCACGGAGGACATTCAGACAAGGCAATACAGAGCTTTGGAAGTACTGATTGGAGCAGGATATAGCACTCCAGCTGATGTTTGGAGCACTGCCTGCATGGTGAGCTCGGTTATGCTACCTAAACTTCTTGTACGATGTTGATTCACAATTTGGGAGGATCCTATCACAGAAAAAACCTGACTTAATTTCTACAGTCAGTGGTGGTTCATTTTATGTTGTAGATCACCCTGAAATCTGATGTGCTGAAAAGCAATATTTGGATTGTTTTAAATGTCTCTTTTAACAGAGCACTTCATTTAACGAAAATGATTTTTTCATTTGAATTTTATAACTGGCAAGTACTCGGATCTAATATTCAAAACCACTTACAAGTCTTAGTGATTTGCCTACTTACAAAACAGTAAGCAAGAGACATTGCCTTAAATCAAATTTGCGAGAATCTGATGTACAGTATGTTGCAAAGCACGTCTAGGACACGTCTAAATTACAGAATCATTCCACATTATGGAATAATTAGAATTATGCTTTAGCACTTTGATCATTTACAAATATTTTTTTCTGAAAATTATCATTTTCATTTTCAGGCCTTTGAACTGGCTACAGGTGACTATTTGTTTGAGCCTCACTCTGGTGAAGATTACTCTCGGGATGAAGGTGAGAGCTATGCCAGAACCTGGATAGTAAGAAAATCAGCAGAGAAATATGTCTGTGGGGGAGGGGGGATTAAAGAAAATCAATCTTAGATTCTCCTATATAGTATCTTGGAGAACATTAAGGTTTGCAATAGTGGCAAATAAATAAGTTTGGCTATAAGTTAGAAGCATGGATGGCAGAATCAATTTCTGTGATTTTGCAGTAATGATCTCAGCAACATTTATGTCTGTATTAAGGACACAAATTTAACACGTATATTTCAATAAGTATTTTGTGAAGTTTGTTTTACATTGCAGAGTAATGTGGGATAAAATTATAAAAAGAACCATGCAAAATGACATGAACCACAAAGAGACAAACTCAGAGGTTCCCTCATAGGCATTTATTTTACAAAAATGCCTTGAACTACATTTCAGGACACAATTAAATGTGTTCAGACCCAGGATTTCAGTTGATTTAAATGTACTGATCACTATATGTTACTGATTATCTTAAAGTTCTTGCTATTACATTTGAACGCCATGCAGTAGAAATTCCATCTGTCAAAGTCAAACCACACAAGTACATTGAAGTACTCTAGCAGAAAGATATTTAACTGGGAATCATAATTTATCTTTTACTTATTAAAATGACTCACAACTACTAAAAAAAGCACAAACTGTTAAGCAATCCAGAGCAATATTTTCTGATCCC